AAGCTTGTAACAAGTGGCCCATTGGGCATCCGCTAGCCCGGCCCACGAGCTAATAAAAAATTATGAAAACGTAAACAAAAAATAATAAAAAATAAGATTTAAATCTTGGCCCGTTACACTAAGTCTATGGGCCAGCCAGTAGACCCAATCCGTTGGTTCATGAGAGACGGCTTGTTGGCTTGCCCATCAATCCGGCCATTGAGATTGTTGGGCAAGGCTTTAGGCCTAAGATTTTGGCATGCGGGTCAAGCCAACTCGAGTATACTAAAAAAGGCATGTTGGGCTTTATCGAGGGACATCCTTGGGCTTCTTAATTTTTTTTAATTAAAAATGAAAAATCTAAAAATTTTCAAGATATTGATTTGTGATTATGTATCAATTTTAAACAGTAAACAACAGTCCCAATCAAACAATTAAAGACAAATTGATACAATGATTTAATGTAAAAAAATCACAATTGAAGCACCTTCAATTGTAAAGGACAAAGTCATAAAACAATCCACTAAGAAGACAAAAAATAATTACACAAGTGTACTCTCAATTACCTAGCGAATCCACACCCAAATTGAACCAACCCTAATGTGCCTCTTCTACCACCGTCTGCACCTTGGAATTGTCTTGCCCAACGTTGAAACCACAACAATGATGTCGAATTCACGACGATGAGCCACTCCAAAATCCATTAAAGCTTCAGGCCCAAGTTCCAAGAAATCCACCGAAGAATAACTCTCTCTTTTATGAATAAAGGGAAACAAACAAACCCTTGATGATGTTGATATGAAATTCACAGATCCATTGATAACTCTTAAATCATTAAGAAAACACTCATAAAGTACCCTCCAATATAAAACGCTTTTTATATTGTTCCTCTTTGAAAATCTGGATAGCTCAAACCCTAGAAACAACGAACAGTGCACTTTATAAAAAACAGGATCGCGCAGATCACTCGAGCGCACATTTCACCACTCGAACGATGTGACTAAAAGCGGTGCAAAACATATAGGCTGACCGTTCGAGTGCAACTTTCACCGCTCGAGCGGTAAAACTTTCTTCTTTGAAGTTCAGGCGCTCTGCAAAAATACTAGATGATCTGTTTTTTCGCTCGAGCTCACAAATGATCGCTCGAGCAGTCAAATAATTTCGATTGTATTTTTTCTTTTACTTCGAGGGCACTACCCCTCAGCCCCGCCGTGGCACTGCCCTAGACCCACCATAAAGCACTGCCCCCTAGACCCCAGCGAGCTAACCGAGCAGCTCGATCCTCGACATAGTCAACGAAGTGGTAAACATGAAAAAATTAAGATCACAAACTCCACTGCAAAGCATAATTCGGGTTAGATTTACATCTAAAAACTCATAGCCTCACTGAAATAAACGATCGAATAAGATTACAACTGAAAAATGTTTTGTCTAACGAGAACTACAACAAAACTGAGTTTCTACTACTCCCCATTAATGACATACAGTAAATGCAAGCCATGGTTTCTCACTTTTACGACTTACTTTTTTTGCATGTCGTAAATAATTTCCCAACCACGACGTGTCCATTGCATAGGCCGTTAATGCTAATAACGAAGATTTTTTAACGGCTTGCAATGTTAGCCGTAAATAATAAAACTTTCTACGAAATATGACATGCCGTTAAGACATCAACTATACACAACACGCGAACACCAGTCGTTAAAAATATTACACTTTTTACAGCACACAAAAAGTCAGCCATAAAAAAGTACACTTTCCATGACGCACATATGCTAATCGTTAAAAATATTTTACTTTTCACAACACGCAAATAGGTGCCAAAATAAAATACACTGGCGCCAAACAGTGAAATGAAATACTCTTTGAATTGGGCATAGGTATCTCTCTCTCTCTCTCTACAGACCATTACCAGTTACACGTTCCAAACTCACTCAACACTCACCACGGTTACCCCTTTTTCTATTCCCTTCTTCAGATCTAATTTCTGTGTACCCTTTTGCTGTTTTCTTGTTGGGTTTTTGATTTTTTGGAGAAAAAAATGTGTTTTTGATTTTGGGTTTTTTGTGTTTAGATGGATCGGTATCAGAGGGTAGAGAAACCGAGGCCAGAGACACCGACTAACGAGAATGAGATTTGTATAACCACTCAGGGGAGCATGAGGAACTACATTATTTATGTTACCACTCTCTCTCTCTCTCTCTCTCTCTCTCACATTGAAAAATTAGGATTTTGATTATACAAATAAAAAATTAGAATTGTGTTTTAGGTTGTGAATTTTTTTTTTTTTTTTAAATTTCTTGAATGTGAGTTAGGGAAAATATCTGAATCTGAATTGGAAAAATTAAAACCTGAATGTGAAATTAGGTTCTTGGGTTGAGCACAATTTTTTTTTTTTAATAAATTTGTTGAATCTAAAGAAATTGGGTTCTATTACGAAAATTAGGGTCCTGTAGTTGTGATTGTATAAAAAAAATTAATTTATGGAATCTAAAACTAGAAAATCCTACAGGAACTCCATTAGTATAAAAAAAATATTATATACTTTCTTGAATTTATTATTATTATTATTATTATTATTAATTTGTTCAGAATTAAAAAATTTGAATTCAAATAAGTACTATAAAAAATTGACTATAGAACGAGTAGAAGAATCTATCTGTGATTGGAACAACATAGGTTGATTTGAATGATTTTGTATTATATATGCTGCATTCTTTTGTCATTTATATGGCCAATGTCTTCCTTTAGTTCCTATAATTTTTATTGACTTACATTCATTGCAATTACATTGGAATTTTTGAGTTACTTAAACATTCAGGATTTACACAAATATGAATATATGTTATAAACTTTTAGATATAAACATTATAAACAAGTTAAAATATATCAACTTTTAGATTGTTAGGAAATTCATCAAAATCTTGAAAGTTGATCTAAAGATACACATTGTGATTTTGGCATGATAATGTCAGTGCAGAGTAGTGTAGTGCATCTTATACTTTTTGCATGATCATTTCCTTTTTAAAAGTTTCTTGCATCGGGTATTTTTTATCCCAATATATATATATATATATTTCTTGCATTAGGTATTGTTTAGCTTTATAATAAATAAATAGTCTAACCTTATGTTCATCATGAGTTTGAGAATGCTAGTTTATTTCTGCTTTCCTGGACTGATCATGTTTCCTTTTTCCCAATGCAGACTTAAAATTTTTGTTCCTATTGCATTCCTTGCTTTCATAGTCATGGTGCCAGTTAATTATACCAATGGAACTTTAGATAAACTTTTTATCTCAAACATTCCAACTGGATCACATAGGTAAGCAAGACTCTATGCTAAATTTGCTATATATTTTAAGTTATTTTTTTCTTTTGCCATAAATATGCTGAATTGGTTTGGTTTGGTTTGGTATGAATATGCTGAATCCTCTCCATAGAACTTTGATCTTTATATTTGCTCTTGAGTGCTTTATGTGGGAATGGCCTCTTCTATTTAGTTTGTGGAAAAAATTTAATGGTTTTTAGTTGGTTTGTTGTTGGTGGAAACAATACAATATTGAGAGAGAGAGAGAGAGAGAGAGAGAAGGGAAAAGTAAATTTACAGTTTCTTCACATATTTTAATTTAATAAATAATTTTTCTCTATGGCATGTAGCATTTAGCTCAAAATAGGAAGTAATTAAATTTTCTTTCAGGTTAACTCATCTTTTTTTAAGCTTTCATGAAGTTTCATGATTAAGTTATATCCCTTCCCTTCTGTCAATTTGCATCCTTTTTTTATGGCAGCAATGTTGATTTAGAAATATATTTTTTCACACAAAATTGTCAAAACTATCTAAAGGTAAGGCATGCAGTTAACTCTCAAAAGATTGGAGACTATCTCATTAGGACTTTCTCAAAAGTTGCCCTTTGGATGTTGAGTATACCACTCAACTGTTGGAGCTAATGGTTAGATTATTCATGATTTCTTCTCATTAACACAGAAAGGAACTTAGGTTCAAAGAGTTGTTACTTATATAATCTCAAATTTCAGTGCAATAAATTTCTACGCATGTTTTGGATTATAGATTTTGGACCCATTTGGTGATGGCTTATGTCTTTACCTTCTGGACATGTTATGTGTTGAAAAAGAAATGTGAGATAATTGCTTCCATGAGGTTTCATTTCCTTGCTTCCGAACATCGACGCCCAGATCAGTTTACAGTAAGTTTACTCTTTGTCTCATCAAGTTAATATGTATATGTGATTACTGTTTTTTTATTCCTTTTGTTTAATAGTCAAAATTTTATTTCATTTGGAAAGATGGTTAAAAAATAGGGGGTGTTTAGGAAGTGGGGGAAGAGAGCAGATGCAAGTGATCTTTACACGAATGAGATCGAGAGACTATCAAAAGAAGTACTAGACATTCATTTTCTTGTATAATGCTCATACTTCAGGGTCGTTTGCCTATTTGTCCCCTTATGATTAAGCTTCTTAAATACGATATTCTATAGCTATCTTCACTTTATATACCAATTGAAATTGATCATTGTTTTGAGACAAAAAGAAAAGGGTACCATAAACTTAATATTCCCAAACTTCATCATTCTTCATTTTTCTTCTTCTAGTTAAGAAAAAAGTTACTTTACTCCTGGTGATTATTATGCTAATTCTTTCACTTGAACCTTGGTTGTAGATCTCAAAATCATATGAATTCTTATTATACCACAAAATTATTGTTTGAATGCATGCATGGCTTCAAACCCTAAAATTCATGAACTCTCAACAATTAATTAAATATTTATAGTTTTGGTTTAAAACTTACATAATGATATTCCCAAAGTGACAGCTGAATCTAAAGATGAGACTCCAATTTCGTTTTGAGGGGATGCAATGATATTTTACCTTTTTTTTTTTTTTTTCAAATATAAGTTCGCCTTTAAGGTCCTGTGGTTTTCTGGGATTTCTTAATTCCACAATTTTTATTTTTTAGGGTTGTTGTTCTTGCATATAATTATATGGTCCTTCCTGAATATTTAGGTCCCTATAGGATTAACAATATTTTGGATATTTGCTGATTGGAATGATTTGGTCAGTCATAGCCTATTAAAAGCTATTATATGTCATAACATTAAACTTTTTTATTCTATTTGCCGATGCAATTGGTAAATCTAGATATATAAAGCTTAGTTCTCAGAATTCAAAGCGCCCAGATCTTGGAAATGCAAGTGTAGTGATCATTGGGGGACGAGCATTGAAAAGCGCTGAGAATTTTAAAATGATAGAGAAGCTTGCTGAGAAACTTGGTGCTGCAGGTTTTTCTCTATAATATTATGTCCCTAGATTTCTTAATTTTCTCTCTTTTTTTTTTTCATTGATAATTTTCTGTTTTCTAGGAAAGTTATCCCCAAGGTTCTGAAAAGCGGTTGCGGTTGCGGTTGCGAGGTGTAAAGGCCGTAGCGTAAAGGTTGCGGTAACCGGAATCGTGAATTTTTTTATTTTTTGCACAGTTTGAAAAAACTTACAAATACGTATATTTTTTCCATGATCATATTTATTGGGTTTAAAATAAATATTGATCAATTTTTGTAAATTTTTAAATATGATCCATTATATTTTATATTTTTAAATTACTATAAACTGAGTTTTTTACATTTTATTTGAATAATTAATGACTTTATATTATACAAAAAATCAATCACTAATTATTATATATAAGATAAACAACGACAAAAGTAAGAGAATAAATAAAAGCCTAAATATATATATACATATAGACATATTTTAACTAAGCCAAATAGATAATGATCACACTTATTGTTATTATTATTATTATTATTATTATTATTATTATTATTATTATTATTATTATCAAACAATATATAGATAGACACACACAAGCAAAATGGTTGAGTGATAGCAGCTAAATAGAATAGTATAGGTCTTACAGTTTCAACAAATCAATAACATGTTCTTCATCTTCCCTCTTCTCTCTCTCTATCTCTTGCTTCTCCATCTTCTCTCTTTATCTTCCCTCTTCTCTCTATCTATCTTCCCCCATTTTCAACTTTTTTTTTGTGTATTTTTTTTTTTAAAGAAGCAGTTCAGAACCGTTACGTAACAGTGCGTAACAGGCTGTTACGGCACCGTTACAACCTCTATGGCCAACACACCTGTGAATCTCAATCACACTGCAAAAGCAGCCGTAACGGGTGGCGGTAACCACCACAACCATTACGTAACGGTTACGGCCGTTTTTTAAAACCTTGGTTATCCCTAATTATTGACATATTTTCAATTTATTTATTTTTTTTGAAACTCTAAATGCTATCATGACTCACGATAATTTTCATTCAGGATGCTCTAGCATGGTTTTGATTTCTTAACCTTCCTTCTTTTGTGTCACTATTACATTTTGTTTTTGGTATTGTAGTTATAGTATTATATAATTTAGACTAATTCCTATCTTTTTCACAGTTGGGGACACTAGTGTGGCTGTTGATGCAGAATTTGTTCCTAATGACCTCCAGGTAACAACTATTATGGTTTTTTTCTAAATTTAAATGATTCATATGACTTTGGTATTACTCTACAGTATTCTTTTCAAATGATTTGGATATCTTACCAAAAGCTAGACCAAATTTGACTGATGACATGCAAAATTGTTAGGTTTGTAGATTTGTGATTTATTCCTTGTTTAATTGAAACATTTCATTCAAGACTAACAATCAGATTCTGATTGTTTTCAATTTGTGCCACTTGCAATTTTGTTCTATTCAACTCAACTCGACAAGCCTTTTGTTTGTTAGTTTGTTTAGGGAAGCATAATTGACGGTAAAACCAAAAGCTAAGATATGGTGGTGTATAGAAATTCTTAGTTTTTTTAAAGCTAATTGTTAAGTTGGCTTTAGGTTAAGTTGGGGGGAGTTATATAAGGTAAGTGTTCGAATCTACAAGAAAAATATCATAACTTAAAAGGTCTTTTGGATATTGTTTGTTAATCGGGTTTTTACGTACATAAATAATAATTGTTGCAGAAGCCAAAGAGAAACTAAACCATACTCCTGATGGTAGTGACTTTTTGATGTCAAAAATCTGGTAGAAGTGGGTTAAATAGTAGCCATCACACCCATGAGGACATATGCTTGAAGTCTCATATGTAGGTTAAAGAAATTTATTCTAATATGAAGCTCGTGACATTTCCAAGGATTTTAGGCCTTGTCAAAGAAAGTTATACTAGAGTAATGAAATTAAAGTGCCAATGACATGTGAAGATGATATTCATTTGGCATTGGGCTCTGTCCAAACAAGCTTTAAAATTACATATTTGTCCCAGTATATATGTTTGGATTATATCATCAAAAGTTGACTTTAATGAGAACATTCTTGAACAAGAATTAGGAATAAGTCAAATTTTCCAACTAGTGTAATTATAAACACAGAATTATGGAATTACATATTGAGGAAAATATCACAACATAAAATGTTTGCTAATGCAACTGTAAGAGTCCATTGTGACATTGTGTCCCAATCGAAACCTACATGGTGGCTAGTCTTGTTGCTTGAATTTCTCAGGATGCATTCCACAAAGTATTGGTGCTGACATGGTTCATTCTGCTATTGGTAGACTATATTTTTTAACTTACTCTATCAATTCAGTCTGACCATTCTATACTACTTGCTTGGTTTGATGACTATTCTCTTTCATGTTCAAGTTGTTCTATGTAATTGCTATCTTTAGAATTGCATATCAGTTTCCACTCTATTATAACATTTATTCATGTTTTTGGTTACCAATAGAAATTGTTTTCCCTTTTCTAATCACTAATGGGATAGATATGAAGGCATTTTTCACTATTCCTCTGTTACATTGTTTTACCATTGTTGAGATATGGCATAAAAGTTTCGTGATTTGTGTCATGTACAATTATTTTTTTGAGCTTCTGGACAGAGGTACATTATAACTCCATTTATACAGAAGGAGGTAAGCATATGTCAATTCATAATACTACAACTGGCCCATATGCTACGTGGGATATTGCGGAAAAGTTGAGGATGATACGCTGTAAACTCATTTCTTACAGAGCATGCACCAAAACAAGTTATGTAAAAGCATGAAATTCAGTTATCTGCTTTCTCACTCGTTTGTTCCTTATGGAATTTCCCAATCCCATCTAGTGCCATACACATTGCATTTAATGATTAATGATGTGACCGGCAAAGTTCTAGCTATACATATGATATTCATTTAAATTGTTTTTCACTATAAAATAGTTGGCCTGCTGAATCCGTTAGATCACCAGTTGTCCCAAAAGCTTAAGATATTAGGAAGCGGGCTAACAATGTAAGTCAAACTATCTAAAAGAATCATCCTCAAGCTCATACTAATTTTGTCTCTAAATTAGTACTTAATTATCTTCTTCGTATTGCCTTCGAGGGATATTGAACCCAGGCGAGCTTGTGCCCTTGCAGTTACTTTCTCTCTTTGGTCTCATCAACCAGCTGAATGTGATTTGCACATAGTGTTTATTAAGAATCTCAAATGATGTACTAGTATTTGTTACATGCGTAGTAGATCTCAATTTCTTACTAAGCAACTTGGAATTGACGTATTCATCATTCACAAGATTTGCCTCATTGTTCAAATAAAAATTGCGTGCATCTTGTAATAGCATTTTGAGAACTTGAGACTACTTTGCTTACCACCTCTTTCCAGTTAAAACTCAACACTTCGGTATGATGCTTTTACAACCCCCTCCAAACAAAATTGAAGCCACGAAAATACATTCAGGCCTTTCTCAAATCCATCCTAGAATTAAACATGGCCATTGAACCTGTCACAGTGTAACAACCCCGACTCAAGATTAACGATAATCCATGATTTAATATGCCTAATAAGTTATTAAGATCAGATTTTGAATTAATGGCATATGTGGTTCATTATTTATGTTTTATCTGTTCATTGTAGGAGTAACTGCTTGAAATTTCTATTGCCTTTTGTGAATCAAAGCCTTATCAGCATCTGATCACGAAATTGATTTGGTATATATGTTATGTGGAATTTATAGAATTTTATGGTAGGTTTAATTAAAATTCGATTCGGAACGATTAAATTAGAATAATTAATGCTACTTAGCTTAGCTTAGGCCAATTAGTTAAATGCCACTAAGTGGGCTTATATAAGACCACTTCTATTTCTCTTGTACATGTTTTTGACACTCTTATTTCCCATCTTAAAGCTCCAAACGTGAGAGGAAGAGAGAATTAGAGAGTGAGAGTTGATCTCAAGAAGCAAAGGAAAGAATTGCTAGGAGATTTAGTGAATTGCTCAAGATTTTGCTTAAGTGGAGCTCAATTGAGTAGCCTAGGTAAGAGCTCAACCTTACAACCTTGAAGTGGAGTTAATTCACCCATGAATTAAGTGAATTGAGCTAAGAGATATAAGAACCAAGCTTAAGAAGTAGGAAGGAAGACCAATTCATACATGCATGTACGTTTCATTACATTTAGAGCATGTTTACTAGGAATTCTCTCATGCATGTCATAAATTGAGCTTAGTTGTAAGAATTCATCATGCTTGACATTCTTTCATTTCATTTGATCATGATTTGCAAACTTGAAGCTCAATCATTTCATGCATGTCATGTTTTTGGAGAGTTTATGAAGTTTAAGTTGAGTTTGCGAACAATTGGCATGTTTTTGGGCCTTGATTCCATGAAAGGATCTTTAAATCATGATGTTTTGTGAATATCTAAATGTTTTTTAGAATGTTGGCCCAAGAGGATGAGTTTTGAAGTGTTTAGTTTGAGTTTGAAGCTTGGAGATCAAATCTAGAAATTCCAAAATTTGAACCTACGCTCGAGTGTAGGAGTTCACGCTCGAGCGAAGCACTCTGAGTGCGTGCACTTCCGCTCGAGGAACATGATACCCGCTCGAGCGTGAAATGCATGTATCCAAAAGTTCATATGTCTTGCAGCATGCTCGAGCGACAGAAGTCACGCTCGAGCGAAGGCCTAAGTCTCACGCTCGAGTGGAGATCGAGCGTCCGTCGAGCATGAAAAATAAGCAACCAATACTTTTCAAGAGTTTACAGTCCGCTCAAGCGACCCTCACTTTTTGTATGTCCGCTCGAGCGAAGAAAGCCACGCTCGAGCGTGGACCCTACTTTCAGCAAACTTTGGAAAATGTTTTATAATGCAATTTTTGCATCTTCATTCCATCATAGGCATTTTAGGCCATGATTAAGTCACCATAATAAGAATAAGAGTAGAAACACACTAAGAACAAGTGAAATAAGTTATGTACAATTCGAACGTGTGTTTCAGGTGTGTATTTGTTATGTGTTAATGTAGGTCACGTGCCGTAGACTGTTTGATTAGCCTGCTCTGTCTGTCTGCACCCGAAACTAACTGTGAGTAATAACTTAGTAAAGGTACGTTCAATTTTATTTATTTTCTGTATGATGAATTAAGATCTGTTTTCTAAAATGATATGTTATGTACAATGAATGATTGTCTAATCTCTAACAATGTATTCGTGGCATCCTTAGCATCATGTGATATTTGTTAGCTGTTGCTCGGTATTGGAGGTTCCATTATGGAACTTAATATGTTTGCACTCTGTTACCCGTACTGGAGGCTCCATCATGGGGCTCAGCATGTTTATTCTCTGTTACCTGGATCCGGAGGTTCCTTTATGGAACTAGTTATTCATAGCCATCATATGTTCTGCATCTGTTTTGTTAGCACTAATGGATGTACCACGTATGATTAAGCATAAACGTTGATTTCTGTATATGATCTGAACAAGAATATGAATATGAATCTGTTATGAATCAGAATTATGATTTCTGAATCTGTATGGACATCATTTATTAAAATCCTTTACTCCGTTATTATTCACTAAGCTTCCGCTCACTATTTATATTACGTATATAGGTGAGCAGGCGCGTGACCAGGCCTAAGCTACTACCTGGAGTTTTGGTGTCAGCCAGCTATCGCGACTCCCGTGGAGGTTCCTTCTTGAGATCTGCCCAAGCTTTTGTGTTTTGGAACTTTTGTGCCTCCTAAATGTTTACGTTTGGACTGAACATGTGTTTGAAAGTTTTGTATAAATTGCTCAAGTGACGTAAGACTAATGCTTTTACAATGTCACATATACGAGTATAAAGTTTTAAATTCTGTCCCATGTATGTTATCACAGCTCATTAGACCACGTATATTTTGTATGTTTGCCTCCGTAGCCCCTAACTATATGATATTCTATTAAGAGGCCTTTGGTAATCCAAGGATTACTGGCCGGTTACGATACTAAACCCATAGGGGCGGGTTTGGGTCATGACACATAGCCTCCTTAATTATCCACTAAAGGTTTTAACAGGGTCTTTACAAACGCTCCCTTACAAAAGAGAGGATAACACAATGAGCTCTGTATTCAGGAGCATCTAACCCCCATATCTCAACATCATGCAATTAGTTGACACCTCCATACACTTGAGACCCCCCTTGAAAAACACGACACCCATAATTTTTTCAAAAAAGAAGCAAAACTTGAATTGTGTACCCGTTCAGAGAACTCATTGTAAGCATCCACTTCAATATGCTTTGAACTGAATTCATTTTTTGTGGACAATCATTGACTTGTGAGCTCTCCTTTATTGTTGTTCATTATACATTATGATGGAATAAGGAATCCTTTGTTCCTTATTTTGTGATTCCCTTGCAAAATATAACACACTGCCATTGTTGTTTAACTAATTAATGCTGTCAAAAAATAAGGCCGGCAATCACCTCGTGCTTCTAGTTTGCCTAAAATCTTTATCTCCATCTTATAATTAATGTTTCAATGAAATTACTCCTTCACTACAAGAAAAATCACCTTTGGCGACTAAATTTTTAGTCGCCAAAGATCCATTTTTAGTCGCCAAAAGTCGCCTTTTTACCTTCCCCGACTAAATTTTTTAGTCGCCGGTTTTGTCGCGAATAAACGGTCGTAGAAGGTTTTAGCGACTAAAAAGGTTTAGTCGGAAAAAAGACAGGTCTTTAGCGACCAAAGTTTTGGTTGCCAATACTCAATTCCACTGTTTAAAATTATACATTTGGCGACTAATCTGTTAGTCACCAATTCACCAATAGTTGATGGAACGCCGACCAAACTGTTTAATCGCCAAAACAAATACTTTTGGCGACCAATAGTTTAGTCGCCAAAGGTTGTTCGGTGGAAAAAAAAAAAAAGCTAACTTTTTTGCTTTTTTTGAGATTCAAACCACCAACCTTCTACCTTCTAAACCTTTAGCAACACACTCCTTCTACTATACCACTATAACATCACATAAATATATATGCAATATATATCATTTATATACTATATTGACCCGTATTAATATAAAACTATATATATAAACATAATTATTTTTATGCAATATAATTTATGTAAAAAATAAATTATTTACTAAAAAAAAATTGAAGCAACTTTTGGCGACTAAATATATTATTTAGTCGCCAATAATGCAATTTTGGGCTACTAAAATATTTTTTAGTCGCTAAAAAAATAAGTTTCGGCTGAAAGTAGCATTTTTGGCGACTAAACCTGTTTTTAGTCGCCAAAAACGTCCCCTTTTGGCTACTAAACTGAACTTTAGTCAGCAATTGCCTGTTTTTAGCTACTAAATTTTTTTTAGTAGCCAAAAAGCTTCACTTTCAGCGACCAAACTGTTTTAGTCGCCAAAACACGTAGAATCGGCGACCAAACTGTTTTTTAGTCGCCAAAACCTATACTTTTGACTACTAAATTATTTTAGTCACCAAACTAAATCTGTTTTTAGTCGCCAATAACTATACATTTGGCTACTAAACTCTTTTAGTCGCCAAAAGTCTTCACTTTTGGCTACTAATTCCATTTTAGTCGCCAATTGTGCTACTTTTAGCGACGAATATTTGGTTTTTAGTCGCCAAAACTGCTTCTCCTTGTAGTGCTTTGGCATTACGTCATAATTTGATTTCCATTTTACATTCTAAAATCTGTCATCAAATGAACTAATATTAAAAGAATTAATTTCGTATTTAAAACTTAGTATCAAATAACTTATTTCTGTGAAATGTTTTGGATTGAACAATTCACATTACACTATACATTTTCTACAAATAAAGTAGAGGTTCTATGTTCAGGTTTTCTTTCTTGCTTTTAGTAATGCTTTGGAGTTATTATTAGTTTTGCTTGTGCAATAGGGAATTGCACATGCCTAGGTGTCAAACACACAAATACCTTAGCATTAAAAAAAAAAAAAGTACATAAAAAGCTTAATAAGCTCTCTATGTTTATGAGTTAATGATTTGGTGTATGAAAAGAAAGGTTTTGCTTTATGTAGATTTTATTTGCTTATACGTTGAGACTATTGAGATATTGAATTTTTGCTAATTTTTCATCATGACATTACTTTTATGGGGCCATTGAATTATCTTATTAATTTTGAAAATATTTTGTTGATGCTTTAAAATTTCTTAATCATTTCTTAATACCTAAAGATATCTTTTGGTCTCTTAGTCGTTTGTTTTTGTACTTATGTGAAGTTTCCTTCGTCATACAGATAAGAAATGCAATATCTGAAACTTATTTAGCATCACAGAGGTCTGCCAATTCAGCCGCTCTTTTTGGTTGGAGACCCTACCGCTCTGGGTGATCGTGAGATGTTTGTGCTTGAGGATACTAATGAAAGCACTGTTGCTTGACAATCCATTTCATCAGCTTTGACTTTGAGTAGAAATTCTAACATCTATGGATAGTTTTTGATATGATATTGACGAGTGGATTTCTCTAATCTTTGGATAGATTTGGATTTTGTTTATAATATAGTTTTTGGATAGTTAGAACTTTTTGGACAATTTAGAGCTTTAGGATTTTTAGATAGTTTTGAACTTAAGGATAGTTTTTAGATGTTTGGAATGTATAGACAATTGTTGAATGTTCATAACTTAT